AACTTGACAATACTCTGACAAGCAAGGACTTGTGAATGAATTTTTCTATGGTAGGTCTGCACTCAACAAATGTCATGGGGCGTAATCAGGAGAAGGAGCTAAACAGGCATCAAATTGTATGCAGTAGTAGCTTAGTTTGTTTATTTGCAATAAATCAATTCAGTAATGTTCCAGTTTCTTCCCTGGTCAGGCTGTTTTGCAGTGGCAGTGCCTGCCTGAACTGAGTGTCAGATGTGAGGTAGCCCAGGCTCTGTGTCCTGAGGTAAGAGGAGCTGCTGCTGTCTGCACAGGGCAGCGAGATGGGTTCTGTAGAACATTTCTAGATCTTTGGAACAGCCCTTTGGAACAGACCCTTCAGAACAGACCTTACTATAGCTAATTAAAAAATACACTTGTAAGCAGATAATTTTTCAAGGTGCCAGACTGCTACTGTAAACTCACAGCTAAAAAGGCCCTGTTTGATTATTGATATATTTGATTTTTTAAAAAAACAACCCATAAGAGACTCAGTATGAAAAAAACATATTCTTAGTCCCTCCAATGAAGCTGAAGGTGTTTCCACTAAGCTTCAGGTCCTCTCTGCATTTCTCTAACCAGTGACACCAGTGCTTAGAAATGGGAGCCAGCAATGCTTTGACTTTTGCAGGACAGGCCCTAGGCCAGACAGAGTGGGATTTTTTAAACTGGATTTCAGAAATCTGAGTTCAGAAATCTGCTAAATCTAGAATTAAAGGACATGGGCATGAGTTGATGTAAGTCCTGCAGGAGGTGTGCTTCCAAAGTTTGGTGGAAATAAGCACCAGTTCAGCTGGCACAGATCTATAGAGAGGCAGCACTTGTAGGGCCCAGCTTCAGCTGAGACATTTAAGGTAGGCATGAAGGTATTGAAGGGCCGGTGGTTCCACTACCTGTCACTCAAAAGCAAAATAAAGATAATGAAAAGGGGTTTTGAGCTGTATTTCTGTTAAAGCTGGTACCATTTTCCTCACCCCCTTCTTTAATAAAGAAAAAAATTCCCAGACAGGAGGTGCACTTTTTGGACATGAACAGGCCTAAAGCACAAACCCTTCCCTTCTGAGCTCCCCCTGCTTCTGTGCTGTCACTGTGCATGCACCGTCTGCGCATCTTCAGGGACACCAGGGGCATCAGCTCTAACAGCAAAAGGCCACAGAATTGTCTTCTGCTTGTTTCCATGTTATGTGGTACTGAAATGCAATTTCTTGTCCATGCATTACTAATTAAAACTCTTTAAAATTACTGCATTGCTCTCACTTTCTTGAGGGAACTGTAAAGACCACAGGCACCCTTTCCTACAGAGCACATGTGGCAAGGCCGTGTTCCACATTTGTTTGGCCAGGCAGAGCTCTGAGCTTTAGCTGCTGCAGATCTTAGCAAGGTGAGAAACAAAATTATAGCAAAGCAAAAGAGAAGGTATTGTACCAGCAGGGCCCCACATTAAGAGCCCTTACTGATCATTTCACTTGCAGGTGTCTTCCAGTAAAATGAGAATCATACCTCAATCACCTCAGTTGTGGAAAAATTAAAAGGATAGGACTTGTGTTTCACAGAAATGCCTTCTCACTGAACAAATCCATAGTGACATGCATGCATGACATGCTCCCTGGAGCTGCAATTAAAAGGCTTAGCCCAGAACCTGCATGATACTCACAGGTGGCAAGTAGTGTTGGTGGGTTGAGAAGATAATTTATTAGATAAATAAGATCTTATTTACAAGTCAAGGCTAGTGATTTTAGATGAGTCTTTCCTGTTCTAATGCAAAATGAAGCAGCTGCCAGTCCCAAATGCAGTTACCAGCCCAGGCCCAGAGGACCCCAGCAGAGCTTTTGAGCAGTGTGTGGCTTATAGCAAGCTCCAGGGAGACTGGTACTGGATCCTGCTGCCTACCCAGCACAGACTAATGGAAATTGTTTTTCTGCAGTTTTCTCAGAAAACCAACAGCATGTTAGATATTACCACAGTCACACCCAGAAGTGATTTTTTTAAACTGCACTTGGCATTTATTTTGGATAGCACCACAGGGTACGTGGACACTACACAGCTCTCAGTCTAGGGAGGTGCAGCAGCAGGAATGGTGTTGCCTACCCACCACTGCTCCACCTGAGGATTTGAATGAAAAGGTCTCATCAAGGAACATGGCTGGTCATTTACTCAGTGCTAGGTTATTACATTGTCAGTACAGCAGTGCCCAGTTTGTGCTCTGCAGCAGTTCCTGACACCACCTACTGCAGCTCAATGCCTTTGCTTACTTTAGGCAAAATTTTCAAGAATATGGGAGCTTTCACTAGGATTGCCTGTTGTCCCAACAAATATAACCCTTTCTCCAGCATGCCTGCTGGCCTGATGGAAAAGAAATAAGAAGCATGGGAGAGCATGGAAGATTCACACTGGCACGAGGCCAAATTAAGAAAAAGAAAGGGTAGTCTAAACAAACCCAATTAATTACACACCAGACCATTTGACTACGATGTTTTAAGTCAATACTTTTGTTGCTAACATGAGCCTGCACCAGCACAAAAACTAGACATCAACCAGAAGCCAGTCTATTTTGAGTGTGGGATCTTCAAAATCTTAAAATCCTTCAGGGCCAAAAACCACCGTGCCCAGTTTGCCCCCCTCTGGGAACCACTGCTGCTGTCTCCCCTCACTGCTTCCCCTGCAGTGAGGAACCAGCTCTTCCCAGCTCCTTCCTTCCACAGCAGGTGTGTGTGACACAGCTGTAGGGACAGGGAGAGCAGCCACACTTCTATCCAGCATGGAGACCTGATGTGCTGGCACCAAATTCTTAAAATCCAGCCACCTCCCTACAACACAGCCTTGAATTGCAACCCAGCAGCTGAGAAACATTGAACTGCAGCTTGAACAACTGCTGTACATAACCTCCCTCTCACAGCTCACAAAACCCAACTTCAGTTCCACTTTCAACTCTCCAAGTGCAGAATTCTTACTCAAGATGGCACTTGATGCCTATTAATCAACATGGTTACAAGCTCTGAGCTTTCTTCTGCTTGGCTCCCAGCACTTCAAGATCCCTCCAAGTAAATGAGCATTGACTTTACACCATTTCTGCTTTACACATTTTTTTCCTCCTACATACCCCTTTTCCTCCTTCTGCTGTAATCCAAAAAGCTGCATTCTGCTGCTCCCACAAGCAACCTAACACTTTCCCTCACATGCAGCTTTCTGTCTTTGAGAAACCTCAGCCAATGCATGTGACATAAAACTGACTCCAGAAAGATTTTTTAACCATTTCCAGTAAAGAAACAGAAGATGGAGGAATTTCTCTAGGGAGCAACGAAAATAAACAATTCCAAAGGCAGGAAGTTTTTTCGCCTCAAGGGCCAACTCAGCCTATAACAGTCTAAGAACTGGAATGGGAATGGAGATGCTTCAAAATCAGTGTTCTGCACAGCACAGACAGCTAGAGATCCCACCAGATCCCATCGATCTGACCAGTCACGTGGCCAAGGGAGAGGGATTGAAGCCCCATACGCCAACAATAAGGACAGAGAGCAGGGTAAAAACTGCCCAGGAAAGCTTGTGGGAAATTAAGAACACTTCATCTGCTGAACACTGCAGCCTACCTGTAGCCATGATATTTTCTGAAAAATCCTTTCCTTAGGATTTTTTCTCCTGACAAGCTGAGAGGCCTCAAGAACAAAATGTAAACAATGATTATCTGCTGCTGTGGAATGCAACAGGTGGATCTGTGATTGGTCTCATGTGGTTGTTTCTAATTAATGGCCAATCACAGTCCAGCTGTCCGGACTGTCTCGGTCAGTCACAAGCCTTTGTTATTCCTTCTTTTTCTATTCTTAGCTGGCCTTCTGATGAAATCCTTTCTTCTATTCTTTTAGTATAGTTTTAATATAATATATATCATAAAATCATAAATCAAGCCTTCTGAAACATGGAGTCAGATCCTCATCTCTTCCATCATCCTAAGACCCCTGCAAACACCATCACACCTACCTGGTTCTAACTGTGACCCACTGCAAGGTCCTTTGTACACACTGGCAAAATGAACAGCCACAGGAAGATCAACAATCCCATGGATGCACAACAGGCACCTACTCCTAAGATGAGAGGGAGCTAAATGATGGAACAGGCCTCCAGAAGAAATTTGGTTTTTTCCTACCCAAACTGTCCCCACTCTCCTTTAGCCTAGAGAAAAGTAGGAGAGGACTGAGTACAAATAGGAAAGGTGCTGATGCCTGGCAGGTGGAGCAGCAGACAGATTGGAAAACCAAGCATTTAGTCATATACTTCCTAAGTGGGAGGAAATGGTGGAGTGAAAGCAGCCCAAAACCAGGGAGGAACGAAACAGAAAGGAGATAAGGAAAGAAGCAGATAGGGATTAGTTCCTGCAAGGAAGGAAACAAAGTGTCAAGAAAGTAACCCAGGAACCTGACATGCAATTGTCACTGACCCGAGGGTGGGGCAGAGGAGCTCAGCTCCAGAGAGCCTGTGGTGACTCTGTGGAAGTGCCATGCACAAGTCAGCCAGCCCTAAGACAACTCTGAGTAAATATTTCATTTCTGATGCAAGGAGCAGCTTTAGACAACTCTTCTCCCATACCAAAGCAACACATGAGCCTCTCCAAAGGCTTTCCCACCCCTGCTGACAGTCATGTTTTCATCCCTCCAGCAGGCAGGCACGGAAATGCTGCAGCACAGGTTTCCAAATGGACACACACCACCCAATTTTCCTTCTTTTTGTGCAGAGCTCTGCCATAGCTGCACTCCCCTGCCTAGCAGAACACCAGGAGTTAGAACATCTTCTGTGTTCCTCACCCAGGAAGTGACATCACTCCTGAAAAAGGGACAACAACAGACCTGCACCAAAGCCATCCATCTTATTTTCCAGACATGGGCTGCTTTAAGCTCTAAGTTTCTGTTCCAAAACAGGAAGGGCTTTAGGTCCACATAAAAAGAGCAATGTGAATATCTGCTATTCATTTCATTGCTTTCAACTAGTAGACATATTTTTTAAAGTAGGTTTATTCATTAGGATCATGTAATTCAGTTACACCCAGATTAAAGTTTACTTTCAAACCAACCAGAATATGAATGCCGAAAACTCCCTTAAGCTACAAACACTTTAAAATTATCAGATCAAAACAGTGACCAACATTTTACTCTTCAATTTTTTCAGAAGTTACTCATGCTCTTTAACAGCTTCCTGAGCACATGCTTGCCACTTGAACAAGTAAACATCCTTGCAACATTTGTTTCACTTTGTGTGCACACCAAGAAATAAGTTAAAATGCCCTAACAGAGGGTTCCATCAGAGAAACACATACTACATCTGGTCCAAACATGACAATTCTGTAAACATCAGACAAAGCTAGAGTCATTACCAATACATATTTATGCATATTTAATAGGAAAGTTTCTGCAGTTATTTGAGTCTGTTTCCAGATAATGAGAAGCATTTCAAAGGATTTTAAAACCATTTTGTACCCACGTGGAAAAGAGTTGAAAAGGTTCAGTTACACTGGTAGTCAGTAGTTAACAGAAAGCATTTAGAAATGAGAGTCCATTTGTGGTTCTTGTACTCTTGTTTTCTCCACTCAGGAAATTAAAAGTTTCTCTTCATGAAACCTTATCATTTAGATTTAAAATTTTCTGCTCATTTCTCATTTCAACTCTTCTGGTTACTGCATCAATTTCTCCCCCAGTTAAGATGTGATATGAAGAGCAAGGACCAGTGGCACAGCACGGTCTCTTCATTCTAGCAGCCTACAAATACCCTTCTTGGAGATAAGTAAGTATTTTCCAGCACCTTCAAGTAATCCCTGTCCCCACAGGGAGGGGAGGAAAGAGGAAAAATTAATAAATAACAAAATAAATTATACCCTACTTCCCACCAGAAAAACTATTTTAGGCTATTAACATCAATAGAAACTTTATCTTTGTTTGGATACAAACATCTAAGAGGTAAAGTATCTGTGTGTCATGTTCAGGCAGCACCTAAGAAGAGTTAGTTCCACATAAGATGTAGCCTTTCAAGATGATCCTCTAGATAAATATCAGATTCTACAGTATCATGTTCTGACTCATGTAGTTTCCTTTAACTGGCCATAAGACATTATCAGATTACAAACCAGACAAAATTCAGTGCTCTAGGACCTATCAGCCCTTTAGAGAACAAACGTTCACACAGAAAACCCTTAATCCCACACATGCTTTTTTTTCAAGCTTTTCAATTTGAGATGGTGTAAATATAACATGCCCTCTACCTTTATTTGAAAAGGTACATTTAGGCTGCTTTGAATGTGCTAAACATTTTGTTTCCAGTGTTAAACATAAATTGTTCAAATGAAAAGAGCATCTGCAGGAGGTCAGTTTAAACTTTAGTAGGCAACAAGAGCTGCTGTGGAGATGATGGATGAGGTTGTTTTTCTGCTGATCCAGTATTCTTATAAATGGACAAAATCTCTGCAGATCAGCCTTGGGAGGGAGCTCTACACAGCAGTCTGCAGAATAAGACTTTTCTGTCAGTTACTTGGTTTTATTTGGTGAACCCAAATATTTGGCTTTATTTTTCCGTGGACGCTGCTGCCATGGCTGGTTTGATCCCCTCGCGCGTGGACTTCAGCTCTTCCAGTTCTGTGTTTAGTTTGCTGATCACCCACTCCAGGGCATCCCGGCCCTGCCAGAAAAACACCGGGATTTAGGATCAGAACAGACACGCCACCACTCCTCATGCTTCTATAGTTCTTCCTCTGTCAGACATGAAACTTGCTTTAAAATCAATGCCATGCTCTGCATAGTTTGATACCAGATTATATTGATAATTTCTTAGCATTTTCTTATGGAAACTTCACTGCAGAGGCATTTGCTTCACCCCAAAGCCAGAAGCAAACGCAGTGCTGGTGTGAGCTCCCAGTAGCACAAGGCCTAATTCAGCAGTCAAGTTTCCTTACCTAAGAGAATTGCTGGTTTTGCTGTTTGCTGCTCCCACCACCCAAAGAATATTATGGCAAAATCCAGGTACTGTTCTCAGCTTTATTAGCCAAGTTATATAGAAAGTTTTTGAGAAGATCCAGGACAATGAAAGTCTTCCAGAGCTCTCTGAAGTAGCAGCTAAGTGATCTGATACCAATCAAGAGTTCAGAAGTGGACTCACACTGAATTCTACATTTGTACACAGCAACTTTTCAGCAGCTAAATCAGACTAATTGAGAGTTGCACATTTTATATCAAGGTATGGGAATGCCTCAAGCTCAGAAGTGACAGCAAGTACTTCAGTAACAGCTGGAGAACCCAGGGCAATAAGCCTGGCAAACACCTTTCACCTGAAGAAGACTCTAGCAGCTGCACCCCAATGACCACAAGATGCAGCCAGCAGCACAATGAAGTCAAGAAAGACAAGGACTTTAACTAAACAAAAGTCAAGACTTTAGAACTCTGCAAGCTCAGAATAGCAGCTTTTGTCAAAGCAAGCAGATGGGATCAGACCAGGAGAACACCTGGCCTTTTTTCACTTAGAGAGAAGTCAAGAGACATCAACCTCTATTCCTCCACTAAGAATAAGAAATACAAAGAGTGGAGAGCAGTAAGTGGGAGCCGCATGGCTCTGGCCAAGTTTAGAATTCTGGAGATAAAGGTTTGAGCCCAAGAAGTCATAAATGTTCAGGAGAGCCACTGTCAGTGTTCAAGCCTTCTGTAGACATTGACAGAAAGGGCAAGCATGGCCTCCTCTGCACAGTGTTGTGTTCCAAACCGTGGTGTGCTAATTTTGTTGTATTCATTAAAGGTGATAAAGTGCACAGAAACATCACAGTGTGTCCTGAACCTGTTGCTGTCCTTTATGGACTACTAAGCATGAACAAGAATCTGCATAAGCAGCTTTGAAAACCTAAGGAAAAAGAATGTCAGAAGAAAGCTCATACACACATAAAGGATTTTTTTGCCAGGCTGGAAACATCAGCCTACAATAATATGAAAAGCCCAGATCCAGAGTGCAAAGTATAACCTATTAAAAGAAATAAAGTTTTACTGTGAATAGGAGCACAGTTATCTCAAGACTCCCTTGAGATGACTCACTAAGGTCAGTGAAGGGCTGATTCCGTTTCTCTTTGGGTTTGCTGTATTCGAGGGACTCACAGAATAAACACTAATTGCTACTTCTGCACTGGCAGGCAGTCCTTAAACTGAGAAGAGTCATCCAGGTATCACAATAAAGTGTTCAGCTCTTGGTCAAGGCTCAGAAAGGGAGATAAGGCTCCATCCCAAATTACCTCAAGAACTAGGATGTCTAAGTTAACTAGTTCCAGAGATGTCTTTAAAAGATACTAATAATATTCAAGAAAGCATGATTGAAATTGTCCACTTTAAGTACAGGTTGCTGATAGAAGACCTTAGAAGGGATGATTTAACTTCTGAGCTCCTCCCATTTGAGCACCAAAGTGACTGTTCTTCAGCAGGGACTAATTTCCAACTTCTCCACAGGCTGTGCAAGACCTGGGAATGCCAGCAAAGCACAAATAAAAGCACCCAGACATGGGCAAGCTACTGCACAGCAACAAGTTGTAACCAGCTGTGAAATAACTGAGATGAGTGCCCACTAAGGAAAAAGTGGGGGGGCAGGGAGGGGGAATCATCTTTCAGTAAGCAGACATTTGGACCTTTAAAAGTCAGGTTTAAATATCCTCTCTGAGGTGACACAGAACTGAGACAGCAACAGCTTAGATGTTACATTTTTATATTGCTCAAAGAAGACTTGTCAGAAGGTAAAACACCCTGGCCATAGAAAACAATCAGTAGAAAAACACTGAGATTCTTTTCAGGCCCTGACTTGAAACAATCACATCATTGTGTCTTACTGGATATCTTTGTGGATGAGATAAATAAATTTAAAAAATCCATGACATTCAACTGGGGCACCAAGATATTTCCTCCAGTTTTTGAGAGTACATAGGTCTGTGTATATCTCCTTAGACTTGCATACACTATATATTTTGCAGCTAAGAATAAACTCATGATTTTGGCAAGGAAGACTTCAGGAACATTCTGCACAGGAAATTAAGTTAGAAATCTCAACCAGATCCAAAGCCTCCAAGTGCCATGAAACTACCCAGTTATGAGGAAAAATCTGACAGAGGACTGTCTATAAAGTGTCATACTGTACAACAAGTTCTGCAGTCAGTCATTAAGCAAGCACACTCATCCCCAGGCATGCACGGTGTGTTATTCATTATTGCAGGTGTCAGCAGCATGACGTGGCTGGCAGGACAAGCGCTGCATATGAAGATTTGTTGGTAGAGCTTAATGACTGATAAGTGCTGAGCCTTTGTACTTGATGTTTTCCAGAAAAACAGCCATAAAAGCTTAGTGGAATGAGAACATAAAAGCAAACACTCATGGCATACATGGATCTCAAAGTAAGCAGTGTAAAAAGCCCAACTTTCTTAACTAGGAGAAGCAGCAAAATGGATTTTTTTCTTTTTAAGAAATCTTATTGGTTGAAGCAGAAGCCAATACAGGAATGACAGGGACAGGCTACACTGACTAGTGGAAGAAAAATAATCTGCAGAGGTCTCATAGAGGCAAATACACTCAGTTCTCTCAACCCTGAACTCAGATTTGTTCATAGTTATATAACTGCAGGGACATGTCACTACCAAAATGAACATAACTACAAGACCAATGAAAAACAGGAACAGTCTGGCATCCTGGCAGCTCCGAGCTTTGCACAGATTTCCTCAGAAGGGCAACACTACTCCTCAGGCAGAAGAAAAGCAAATACAATTCTGCTATGCAAAACATTACCCCTGCTAGGCAACCTGTTTCAAGAAATCAATTTTATATCCTAAGAACACAGTTCCATTTCATTTTTACAAAGCCAATTCCACTCACTAGCCAATTTATTAATTTCTTTAGGTACCATCTTTATGTACTGAAATCACAGAAACTCAGACCAGATCAAGCACTCAGTGGAGGGACTCCTCACAGCCCTAGCTGTCTGCAGTCTTCAAGCCATAAGCAAGGCTGTGTGGCACATGGCTGCAGCACCTCGGCTGCCCAGTGGCACAAGCACGGGTTCATGGATCCAGCCTGGACTGGGGCTACACTCACACTCCACAACTGCAGGGCAAGGAGCAGCTCTGCCATTCCTGTATGCAAGGTGTGTGAAACAGACATGCAGGGTCATTTATGAAATCCACGTGACAACAGTCCATGCAGATATTCGCTAGAAAGCTGAAATGCTGTACCAAGAAGGAGAATGCTGGCATTACCACTAGTTAGTACAAACTGCAGGTGTGGAGAACTGCTAGCTTAGAGCGCTCTCAGAATTTTGAATTATCCACTCAATAGCATCCCACCCCTAGAGTAACACAAAAAGATTTACAACAGACAGCAAATTATTTTTTTCATCGTCATTAAAAATAACAATGCATCACCTGCCACTGCTACCTCAGAGCAAAGTCTCAATAATTCCTATTTCTTGAGAGCAACAAAACATTTTTCAGTAACTGTCATGAAGTTTAAGAGGGGTGTTGAGAGCACAGAGGCACAGTACAGCATGCAAGAAGAGCTAGTAGTAGCACAGTAGGTACTGGTTAGCAAGGGAAGGGCTGGTAACAGCAATTACAAATTCCTGCCAGGTTCAAAATCTGTAGAGACTTTTCAGTGAAATACACAGGATAAGAAGATCTTTCTGATTTGCAAGAAGCTTGTAAACCAGTGTGCTCCTTGAAAATGGCAGAATGGAACAATCTTTAAAAGAAAGCGAGCTCTCTCACAGGCAACACCTCAGCAGGTACCAAGAAATATTTATAGCTTCTCTGATTTCAAAAGAGATATGTAAATGTAGCCAACGCCTCAAGAGGAATTTTGCCAGCATTTTTAAGTGTGCCTAACTTGATCTGGCACACGAGCCAACTAGACAATGCTTTGCTACCTCTGGGTCAGCCTGAAATTTGGTTGTGAGCCAGGGTTTGTTCCTCTCTTTCAAGAATATACACTCCACACAGACTTTTAAATGGAAACCGGATCAGAACAGAACTGTTATTTAACTGAAATACCTTCCATTTCAAACAGAGAGCACCCAGCTAGGTAAAGTGTTCAGTGTCTAGAAATGACCCATCACTCCTACCCCATGCCATGATTTTAACATGTTTTCCTCTCACCTTAGGAGAAGCACACAGAAGGGTGGAAAAAGAGGCTTTCTCCTCTCTGATCTAGTTGGTCCTACCAAGTCGGCTTACACTGGCTTGGTCAAGGAGCATCCCTCACAAGGATGAAGGGATGGCCAAAGCACAGGATTTCTGGCATAGCAGGAGTTACCTGGGCCAGATTCCCACTGTGCTGAACCCCTCCAGCAATGCAGAACAAAATCTCAAACTCCTAACAGCACTCCTCCTGCTGTTAAGGCAGCAAGGCCTATGCTTCTCTAGCAATTCCATTTCTTCCCCAAAGAACTGTAGGACAAAGTGCTCAAGAATAAGCACTCCCACAGCTCTGCCTGTGCTGAAGAGCAGCTCCAAGGCTGCAGACAAATTAGAAAAAGCAAGCACAGGACAGAGCAGTCAGTGCAGTGTTACCCAGGTGAGCCAGCACAGTCTCACCTCCTCAAAGATATGCTTCTGCTTACACTAAATTACTTTTATCCAAAGGCAAGGAGACAGGTCAATAATGGATGTGAACTGGAACAACTGACAAAAGCAGCATAAAAAATCTGCTGGTATTAACTGATAAATCCACATTATAAAGACTGAAAGTGAAGTTACATTTTCTACTAGTACTAGGTCCTAGAAATAGGTTGCTGAGGTTCTATAAAAAATCTACAGAAACACTGTGCACAAAATCTGGAGAAATTAAATATAACATTCAACACACACCGTTGACAATTACTATTTCAAAAGAAAGAGTGATTGGGTGGGGAAGAGAGGAAGAAAACAGAATAAAGAGGTACCTTTCTGGCATTAGAAGATATTGTATTTGCCATCAAGCTTTCCAGATAACTGCTCAAGCTAATCCCTTTAACAGTAATAATTGCTTCTTGGGTTAGCACAGTCCTGTAAAGGAATAAGGAAAGGTTAACACCTAAGCTGAACTGGAGTAACAAATTGTCTCCTAGACAGAAAGACACAAACAAATTTCCCTACTTACTTTTCCGGGTTTTCTGGGTGAGGTGTGTAAACCAGTCTCTCGTCAACAGACACCAAGTTTGTGAGTGTAATCTTAAAACAAAAACAGAGCTGAAATCCTCACTCCCCACCTTTAATTCTTCTGTTATCAGCAGCACTCAATATTCAATAGCAGAGCACTCAATTTAATGTCAAAATACTGTACACAGACTAAAACCCAGAACACAGTCAATAAAAAGACTTATAAAGGGTGATGCATCTTCTCCTATCCTTGATCTAATTATATCAAAATTCCCATTCACAGGACAGAGCACCAACAGCTTTCTCTGAATGTCGGGTCTGATTTATGGACAGTGGTTAAAAGAGGCTCTTCCAGACCCCCATAGCACCACCTGGATTAGACAGAAAATTAATTCTCAGGAAGGACAAGGCCTCACTAGGCTCTCCTACAGACAAGCCCACGTTAAATCTGAGATCTAAGAGTTACCAGGATACCAAAATCTAGCACAATGCTTCATTCACATTCTTTGAAAAAAGGCATTTCACATTAAAACTTTTGTTGGAAATGACAGAACTCATTCATCTAAAAGTCAAACTATTTTACGTGCATTCTGAGAAATAATCTTACATTAAAAGCAGAATTACAAATGTTCGATGATGAAGTATCTAAATTAGAAGAAGAAGAAAAAGGGAAGGGAAAAAGAGTCATCTAAAACACTGATTAAGACCTGTAAATTGTTGCCTCCAATGAAAGACACAGCTACACTTCTAATCTAAATGTTAAGAGCAAAACATCCAACTTCCAGAACTAACTATCAGAAACTTCTTAAGCCACCACTCACATTAGTTGAGCAAAGCTCCATCTTCTTTTCCACTGGATCTACCACAGAATGCTCCTCTATGTAAGTCAGAGTTCTACTTGTTCCTAATATCTGAAGGGGGAAAAAAATGTTAAGTACCAACATCCAACAAACAAACTGAACCTTAAAACACCTAAGTGCTAAGTTCTCAGTGACCCCAAATAAACACAAATCCATGGATATCAGAGGATTGTGATCAGTGGTGAGACTTCATTGTGTAGACAGTATCAGCCACAGAGCATGGCACAGACCAGCCTGGAAGGCATTGACAGACACACACAAATTTCAGCTTTTACTTTGAAGTCAGCTCCAATTCACAGGATGACATAAAAACGATCCCACCCTAAATAAAGAACAAAGGCTGCAAAAATGTACCGCTTTGACAATACTGGGCAATCCCCACTCCGTGCTGAGCAGACGGTGACTGTGCAGCCTCCCCTGGTTATCCAGGCTCCTGTCGAGGACATCTACTCCTACCACACAGGGATTCATGGGGTTGGGGTACTTCCTCATAGCAGCTTTGATCACAGTATCCCAGGGATGCCTGAGGAAGGAAGAGGGGAGAGTATCTGTAAGTATTTTATATTGAATCGCAAATAATCCCATGATACTAAATCAGGATATAGGTTGTGCAATATGGGACAGGCTGTGCAGCTTCATCGCTCCCAGAAGTCCCTTTGGAATACAGTTATGCTTGGAAAGGCAATACTGATACAAAAACAGAAGAAAAAAATTCTTCTCTCCAGACTGAAGCAAGGAATTATTAACACAAGACTAAGACAAATGAAGGCAAGGGGCAACAGTCACTCACTGCTACAAGTGACATTCCAAGTGGTGCTCACAGAGATGGTGGGAATATCAGCTCATTCCAGAACTCCACCAGGAAAGGAACCTCACCTAACACTTAAGCTTGCCCTGCTTGGAGAAGAGGGCTAGACTACACGACCTCCAGGAGTCTACTCCACACAAATTTTTCTGTAATTCTAAGCATACCAAATAAAATAAAGAGGATGTCACTAGCTTCTGCTCCTTCCTATAGCAAAAAAAAAAAAAAAAAAGGCAGTAAAGTGAAATTAAATTCTACTAAAAAAAGGATGAAAGAAACAGATTTTTAGAAAGCCCACCAGCTCACAGCCTGATGTCTGCACCTACACTACTGCTTCCAGCAGTTTGTTATCATGAATTCCACTTCTGGATACTCTTCTCAGAACTGTTCTTACAAAACAAAAGTTTGATAACCCCAGATTCCTGGGATTGGAGAAGTCCTACTACACAAGGCCAGACTGTCTACACAGCACTTCAGGTACTTCAGATATTTCCTTCTGAAACAGAGGAGGCTACAGAAACCATGGACTTGATCCAACAGAGAAATTCTGTCCCTAATTATTTCTATATTCAGAATAACTGACTGTCCTGACATAATAGCCTTAAAGCTTTTAAAGGTATGTTTAAAAATTCAACAATTGGTATCTAACTTAAGAAGGCTTAGGGGTGCCAACTTGTACTTAAGAGTTGCACTTGGGACCCTAAATGGATTTTATTCTTAAAATAGACTGGTACAGAAAGGCACTGACAGTACAGCACTACAAGAACAAACAGAAAGGTGGAAAAATAAGTTATTTTTCTAACAAGAAAAATGTCAGAAAGCTTTACTGGTGCAAGCAGGAGAAATAAGAGCCCTCAATTCCTGCAGCAGAAGGTGAGCTGGAGGATTACTCCTTGTTCCATCTTTACACCCCCATCAACAGAAGATACACAAACTGAAAATGACAAAATTCTGTTAAATGTCCCTAAGGGATTGAGTCAGAGAGCTGATAAGGCACAACAACATTTTATTAACCATTCAAATTAACTACCTACACCCACACACATTACGCCATAAGACGTGGATGTTCTAATACAGAACTTGGTGAGAAAATGTCAAATAAAAAGAGCTTTTGCATTCCTTAGGTGACAGATACTCATCTCAAACTAGGGGAGTTGTGTCAGGCTGGAGCAGCCTCTGCCTGATATTTCCTGCTAGAAACCACAGTTCACTTACACCAGACCAATGCTGCAGCGGAGCACCGAGTATCTGCATCAGTGCAAGGAATTCAGTTGTGTTGAGCTAAATAAGGAAATTCAGAGCAACACATCTGTGATATTTTGTAAATATGTTAAGAACTATAAATATGTTTGTAAATATGTTAATCACCCCCGGTGCTCTTCGGGCCTCAAGACTTTGGGAACACCTGTAGTAGAGGAATCACCAGCAGTGGCATTCCCCAGGCGGCACGGGCACTGCCAGGAATCGCCGACGGTGGCATTCCCAGGGCGGCACGGGCCCTACGGAGCCAGCTCCCGGGACAGCTCGCTGCACACCTCCCGATGCTTTTCCCTGCTGCTTCCTCGTTAGGTGGAAGCGGCGGGCCAGAACCACGTTCCATGCAGAAAAGCGCCGATGGAAAGAACACTTACTCAGAGCTGGCTGCTGGACACACAGCGGCACACCTGAGGCTAAGGGACACCGTCACTCAGTCCACACCTCTTGGAATATATCGTAGGCTACATCGGTAGTTTAGGATTTATTGTTAGTTATGGTGTGAAAGTTGTTTTTCCTAAACACCCAGCCCTTCACCAAGCCACCACGCTGTGGGGCCAGCTCCACCACTCCATCCTGTTGGAATGCTGTTCCCGAGACAGGAGAAGCCGAGGCGCGGGGTCCGGCCGTGCAGGAAGCAGCTCGAGACAACGCAGGACCGGCACCACCGGAGCCCGTTCCCGGCCTCCCTCCTCCGGCCGCGCCCGCGCCCGCAGCATTCCCATTTCCGCCGTCATCCCGGCGGAACCCGGCTCGCCCCGCACGGCCCGGCTCGGTGAAGCGCCGGGGTCGCTCCGAGCCCCCCCGCCCGGCCCCTCACCCAAACACGTGCTCCGAGCTCCAGATCTTCATGGCCGTTCCCGGTGCGTCCCTCAGAGCCCAGCGCCAGGGAGGGCGCGCGGCGGCGGAGCCCGGCTGACTGACAGCCTCGCGCCGGCCCGGCGAGCGCGAGCGGCCGCCGGGAGCGGCGCGGGGGGCGTGCCCGGGCCGGCGCGCGCGTCACGCGCCTGCGTCACCGCCCCGCCCCTCCCGCGCCCACGGAAGAGGAGACGCAGCGCACATGCGCAGGAGAGCGCGCCGGCCGGGCCCGGTGTCAGTGTCCCAGGCTGGAAGCTACTCAGGGGAATCATCCAAGTCCGGTTCGCAGCCCTGCAATGGACGGCCCCAGGAATCACGCCGTGTGCCCCACAGCGTTATCCAAACGCTTCTCGAACTCTGTCAGGCTTGGTGCTGTGACTATTTTCCTGGGGGCCTGTTGCAGTGCTCAACCAGCCTCTATGTGAAGAACCTTTTCCTGATATCCAGCCTAAATCTCCTCTTTCCAGTTCGTGCTGGAAAGGTGCATCCTGAGAAAGCAGTTCTGTGTTACCATTGACTGGTTGTTCCCCCCGGTCCTCATAAACCAACCCTCACCTTTGCTCGGTGCAAAGGAGAGGTGGAGCTCCCGGAGCAGGTCTGGTGGAGAGCTGCAAATATGATGGAGTTGGAGCATCCCTCTCATGAGGGAGGAAGGGCTGAGGGACCTAGGCCTGTTCAGCCTCCAGAAGAGATGGCTGAGAGAGAACTCCATCAATGTGTATATGTATTTAGAGCAAGGGGTGCCCAGAGGATGGATCCAGGCTCTGCTTGGTGGTGCCAAGCATTAGGGCTAGAGGCAATAGAAACTGATGCACAAGAAGCTCTGTCCAACTAAATATGAGGGGTGTGTGGGTGACTGAGCACTGGAACAGATTGCCCAGAGAGGCTGTGGAGTCTCCCTTACTGGAGATATTCAAGAACAATCTGGATGCAACTCTGTGCCATGTGCTCTGGGATGACCCTGGTTGAGCAGGGAGGTTGGACCCAATGAGCCACTGTGGTCCCTTCCTTTCCCATTTTGTGATTCTGGGGTTCTGTGAGCTACCAGCGTTTTGGTTTAATCAAACCAGGAGTTTTGATTAAATACCCTAATAACAGCCATAGGGACATCATGTGCAGGGCTGTGCCCAGGGATGAAGGGATTGTTGAGGAATACATGTGGGGCAGTAGCTCTTTTTGCAAGCTGCAGATGGAGATGTAGGTGGAGCTCTTGGTGAGAGCCTGAGACAAGAGGCCATGAACTGCCAATCCTTTGGTGGTGCCAGCCAGGTGAATGGACACTGGGAGACACAGCAGGAGCAAACACTCATGAGTAAGAGTGAGGTTTGCATGTGGCTTGGACTGTGGGGGTATAAAAGCTAGGGGTTTCTTTCTTGGGGTCGCTTCTCAGAGGCACGAGCTGGGGCTGTTTCTGTGTTACTTTACCGTGAATAAATTGCTTTATGGAATGAGATGTTTGAGACTCTGCCATGAGGAATGTGGGGTGGATCCAGTAAGCAAACCTGGCCTGACTGTGTGAGGGAGGTCAAATGGGGCACCTGTGGGTGCACTGGAGCTGCCTGCTGGAAAGGGGCTCTGGTTCCAGCAGTGAAAGTCTCTGGCCTTGGGAATGTGAGGGAATGGGACTGACAGAGAGTCTTGTCAATGGTCAGACTGGGATGTTTCCTTAACAGTGATAACACCAAATGCCTGAGTTCACCTAGAGGACTTTGCACAGACTCATTCTACAGCAAACACATTGATATGAAATGCCTTACACAATGGGGCAAAACCAGGAGACATGTTTCCTTATTTCCTACCTCCAGGCTTTGTAAAACATTGCTGCAGGCTAAACCAGGCGTGGCAGCAAGGAGACCCGTCCTTCTCAGTGAGGCTGGCCAGCCTAGGCTGGGCTGGGCTAAGCCTGCCCTGCTGACTCACCCACGCCCTTGAGTCAGCAGAGGGACTGGGACAAGCTGGAAAGATGGGCTGGGACCAATGGCATGAAAAACAAATGCTGGGTCCTGCACTTTGGCCACAATAACCCCATGCAGCACTACAGGCTGCAGTCCGAGTGCTGAGAAAGTGGCCCAGGGGAAAAGGACCTGGGGGTGCTGGTCAGCCAGAGCTGAATGTGAGCCAGCTGTGCCCAGTTGGCTAAGGAGGTCAGAGGAACCCTGGCCTGTATCAGACACGGTGTGGCCAGCAGGAACAGGGCAGGGATTTCCCCCCTGTATCCAGCACTGGTGAGGCCACACCTTAAATATTGGGTTCAGTTCTGGGCCCGCAGTTGAGAAGGACATTGAGGTGCTGGAGCGTGCCCAGAGCAGGGCAATGAGGCTGGTGAAGGGTCTGGAGCCCATGTCCTGTGAGGAGCAGCTGAGGGAGCTGAGGGTGTTTAGCCTGGAGAAGAGGCGGCTCGGGGGTGACCTTACCGCTCTCTACAAGTGCCTGAAAGGAGGTTTTGGCCAGGCTGGGGTCGGTCTCTTCTCCCGTGCAAACAGGACTAGAGCACATAACTTCAAACTGCGCCAGGGGAGGTTCAGCTTGGACATTAGGGAGAAATTCCTCAGGAAAGCGTGATTAAATATGGGAATGGGCTGTTCAGGGAGGCGGTGTTGTCACTGTCCCTGAAGGCGTTCAAGGAGAGCTCGGACGTGGCACTTGGTGCCATGGTCTAGTTGACGTGGTCGTGCTGGGTCACAGGCTGCGCTCGATGATCCCGGACATCTTTCCTGACCCGATGGCTTCCGGCATTCGGAGAAACCCGTCCGCCCCAGGGGGCGGGGCTCCTGCCGTGACGACGATGGGCGTGGTCATAAGACGGAGCGTGACCATCACGTGGGCGTGGTCTCCCCAGGGGGCGGGGCCAGGTGTGCCCTTCGGCCGTAGGGGAAATGCACGCGGCGTCGCGGTGACGTCAGGCGGCGCGGGCCGGCGGTGACGGCGGGTCCGGGCGGCCATGGCGCACCGGTACCTGCTGCTGGCGCGGGGCGGCGGCGGCCGCCGGGGGCTGCCCGGGGCCCCGCTGCAGCAGCTGCTCTGCGGGAGGGGCCTGCTCGGCGGGGCCAGGCCCTGCCTGGCGCAGGTGAGCAGCGAGCGGGCCGGGGGTCGAGGGAGGGCCGTGGTGGCGGTGGGGCGGCCCCGGGGCGGGGAAAGGCGCCCCGCTGCTCGGAGCCGGGCGCGTCTCTGCTGCCCGCGGCCTTCCCCGGCTCGTCCTCACCCCGTCCGGAGGAGGCAGCCCCGTCCTGCTCGGTACCGGCCCTTCTGGGCGGCGGCGAACGAGGGCCCAAGGGTGGGTGAGCGAGCGGGCGGGCTGGAGTGCCGCGCCTCCCGGCCTGGAAGCGGCAGCCGGCTCCGTGCTGGAGAACCTGCAGCAGAGTCCTCCTGCAGAGGGAGGCGACATCCCAGAGCTGCTGCTGGTGCTGCACCCCGTCGGTATTCATAGAAACTTAGAATGTTAGGAAATTGAAGGGACCTTAAGGATTTTCTCTTCCCAACTCCTCTGCCATGGACAGGGACACCTCCCACTACACCAGGTTGCTTAGAAGCCCATGCAGCCTGGCCTTGAACACTACATCTGCAGCTTCTCTGAGCAACATGTTCCAGTGTCTCACCACCCTCACAGTAAATAATTTCTTCCTGATATCTAACTTAATTTCTCTTCTTTGAATTTGTACCCATTTCTTCCTGTCTTATCACTACAGTTCCTGATAAAGAGTCCTTCTCTGGCTTCTCTGTCGACCCACTTCAGATACTGTGAGGTAACTGTGAGCTCTCTATGCAACTTTCCTCCAGGCTGAGCAGCCCCAGCTTTCTCAGCTTCTCTTCATAGAGTAGGGTTCCCACTGGTTTTCCAGGTGCTTTGTCCCACCTGATTCCAAAGTCCGTCCATTGCTTTCTCAGGGTGATGAGTTGTGTTAGGTGGGTTTGGGGCTGGGTGAGAGACTGAAATGTTAAATATTAGTGACTGAGCAGTTTGTTTTGGGTGTCAGTGTTCTGGAAAAGAGGAGCCTGGTTGTTTGCATCGTGGGATTGCACAGTGCAATGATGCCATGAACCTGCAGTTGTGGTACTAACTGGTAAAGCATGATGTCTGTGTGTTCATTCTTAGTAAAATGGCCTGTGCTGTCAGCTGTTACAAGATGTGCATTACCCTTGTGGACAGCTCTAACACAGCTGTGGGAATGACAGGCCTGTGGGAAAAGGAAGATGCTTAATTCCTCTTCCTTTCATGGGCATCTTGCTTTTCTTTGTTTTCCTGTAGCATAGAGTGCTGAACAGCCACACCTTTATAGCTGTGAAGGTTATCTCTAAGACAGTGGTAACTGTGAGAGGAATACACACAGAAGGATGTTACTAGCTTTGTTGTCAGCATGAATATGTGGCTTGTTTTTAATGGTGAATTTGGTTTTTTTTTTGATCAGAGCTGAACATCATTTCAACAATAAATAAAGCATTGTCAGCAGTGCTGCTGATCTCTCAGGAAGCTAATTCTTGTTACCTTCAACAGAATTTAAAGAGTTCCTATTTGGAATCAATCTTAGGAAGGGGACTTTGTATTCATTCTAGCATCTGGCTTTGCGTGCAGGCAGAAGAATGAGGATCTGTGTTCCATACAAGCCATTACTTTTTAAAAACTGATCTTTCTGTAAGAAAAAGTGAGTAGCTTGGAATCATAGAACCTTAGAAAGGCTTTGGTTGGAAGGGACCTTAAAATCCTCTAGTTACAGCCCCCCTTGCCATGGGTAGGGACACCTCCCACCAGACCAGGTTGTTGTGGGCACCATCCAGTCTCACCCTGAACACTTCCAGGCATCCACAGCTTCTCTGAGCAAACTGTTCCAGTCGCTCACCACCCTCTGGGAGTAAAGACTTTCTTCCTAATTTCTAATCCAAATCTCTACTCTTTTAGTTTAAAAACATTTCCCCTTGTCCTATCACTATTTGCCCATGTAGAAAAAAAC